CCTGGGCGCCTCCTGTTAGAGATGTTCCGAGCACATCCAACTGGTAGGAGGCCCCAGGGCAGACCCAGAACATGCTAGAGGGATGACATATCTAGCCTAGGAATGCCTTGGGATCCCCAAGGAGAAGCTGGAAAGCGTCGCTGGGGAAAGGGACGTCTGGAATAATTTGCTCAGTCCGCTGGCCCCGCGATTTGGCTTCGGATAGGCAGTTGAAAATGGATGGAAATCGTGCGATACAATGTTATATTGATTCTTTGGATAATATTTTAAGTCCGCCATCGTACGATTTTGATTCAATTCAATTCAGGGACTTCCGATTGATACGAGATGATATCACTTAATATCCTCGTTGTCTTTTCTTGGCTGCTAACCATCATCTGTCTGGCGTGGGGCCACTAACACTGTTTGAATGTCTAGGAAGGAGGTGCGCTTGGATGAAAATGGTGACATAGACGTGCCATGGAAATTTTAAAATAAAGGTATATCTTACAGATGACAATACGTATTGATGTTTTCACTTTGCATCAATGATATTGGATTGCTGACCACTGAATTTCAATCCAGACTGATGTATCGTCACATCCCTAATATTTTGTGGCTCCAGGGGTCATCCCGATTTATAGCTAAAATGTAGGCTTGGTAATTTAATAAAAGCAGGATTGGTCCTGATCTCCTGAAATTAATTATTTTCATTCTAATTTCAGAGTGCAATTCATAGTTTACATCTTTTGTTAGACTTACTGACTACATGACTGGAGTTGAGGAGACACCTGTGCACAGAGTAGGCTGCCATATCTCAGTAATGTCTTATCCGGGTGTGACGCTTGTATGGAACATAAGTAACCTGGTTATTTATACATGATTTTTACGCATGAGCTACAGGGTCACAAATTAAGCAGCAGCCAGAAGTTTCAATTACTGACATGATGGCAAGTGTCATCCCCCAGAGCGTCTCCCTGCTGAGTCTGCCTGTGGGCTGCTCTCAGCATCAGGTGTTGGGAGCTGTGGGGTTCTTTAGCAGTGTAACGTGCATACATCTGTGTGACAGATTTTCACTTAAAACTACAGCTTTCTGAAAACTATTGCAGTGAAACAGTCTGAAGAGTACTCTTCAGTTCAACTGCTCAGGACTTCACAGACAGTCATGAGTACATGCTGCATGGCTTTAAATAAGACAGAAAGGTTGGGGATGGAGACCAGTGAAGTGAACAGTTCCCCCCATGTCGTTCACATTTAATCTCACAGCACATGAATGCAGCATCATGGAGGACTGCCGGTGGTAATGTAGACACAGGAGTAAAAACTGAAAACCCCTTGACAGTGAGCATCTGCTGCAGCCACATCTCTCTTGCTTTTGCTCTGTTTTTGTTGATTAATTCATCTTTTTATGAAATTTCCACAAATGAATAGCAATTTTAAGGAAGTCGAGGCCTTCAGTGTATAATAACACCGTCAGACACGACAACCCCACGAGCCAAATGTAATCTGTAATTTCCATTATGAGTCCATCAGCGAGGAATCAACTTGGATTGATGCTGGAGACGTGAAACAATAAAGCTGCCAACGGCTCAGGGGACGCCGAGTGCATTACCAAACCAATAAAGGCTGCTTCCACTAATTACCTCTGCTCCTTCCATCTTTGTTTACAAACTGATTTATGAGTCAACAGATACCCCAAGTCTGCCTATGGGACGCAGACAGATGCTCATTACTGTCACAGTAGCAAGGGAGCTTCCCACGAGTGTGTATCTGAAATATTAGATCTCATTCAGGGAAACACCTTGCTGAACAGTTTACAGTAAAACGAGTGGCGAGTGCAGACAAGTCGTGGTATGTAATTTGTGACAGACGCTGAAAAATCTTACACAGAGACAGGTCTATAGCATTTAGAGACTGAGGACATGTGTACACTAAAGGGATTTAACCAAATACATGACTCGGACATGTACAGATGAGGTGCTCTAAAAACAATAGTCACCCCCAACACCACTCTCTGCAGCCAATGCAGCACGAATTTTCTCAGGGTACTCCGGCTTCCTCCCACAGTCCAAAGACGTGCAGGTTAATTGGTGACTCTAAATTGGCCGTAGGCGTGAATGTGAGTGTGAATGGTTGTCTGCCTCTATGTGTCAGCCCTGTGATAGTCTGGTGACCTGTCCAGGGCGTCATCCAAGGTCAGCGACCCCCAACAGGATAAGATGTTACAGTAAATGAATGAATGTATGATGTTCCAAGGGTATTATTTTGACCTCATGAACAGATATTGATAATGGGGCATCTCAGAAGTGCACGCTAATGGGCCTAAAGAGCTATTCAAATTTTTGTCAGTATCTTTCTCATTTTTTTGATGGACGATAAAAACAAAATTGGACCTTTCACTGCATGTGCAATCTCTTAAAGAAAAAAAATAAATGGGGCCCCATGAGCTACTCTGATGAAATGATAGCACAGACATTGCAGACCAGCTTTGCGTTCATCTGGGCCTCCTACCATTATATACGCAACTTTCAATAGCTTATTTGCAATCATGTGACTATAATGACGCTCACAATTCAGATGTAAGGCAGGAAGTGATAATCCATATACTGCTGGAACTGCAAACAGAGCAGCTTGACCATACACAAGGGGTTGGATGAACCTGCAGGCATCACGTATCATCAGAAAATTAAAATTTATACTAGACATGATCCAATATGGGGCCAATTTGCCCGGTGGTGTGGACACAATCGTTGTTACAAATCACCTCGTCTTCCAGACCTCCTAACGTTACAGCAAGCTGATGAAAGCACACAAGAGTCTCGTGGACTATAACTATTTTGAACGAATTGAAACAACTGCCATCTTGTTTTTGGCTGTTGCAGTAAAAGTGCTTACGTATAACAGTCTCTTATTTTTCAACTCTGCACATGGAGGCGCCGGTGTCACCGCAGAGTGGGTAATAGGTTCGCTTTCAGCCATGCTTGTTGTTGTCGTGGGTAACAGCATGACGTCAATATGTCAACAAGATAAAATATCACGAGTGTCAGGATATACATTTTTCATATGACATTTAAAATGATATTAAAAATCATACCGATTTTGTCGTGAATGAGACAGTATGGTATATGTGATATTCTAATTTATTTTTGGGTCAAAATGCTCTGAATGGTTCAGAATTAGTTGCGGAAAAGGAAACAACGACACAAAACCACCAAAAGATGCGTAACGACTACAAGGAGATACAAAACCACCACAAAGTCTGTCGGTGTGTTTCAAATCACATACTTCCGTTAGTACACTTCTATGTAGTATACTATGTGCACCATGCACTTACTGGCGTAGTGCGCAAATTTCAATAGGGTAGTGCTGTCTCAAACAAAACACGGCTGTTGTGCACTTACCGGGAATGACAGCCTCAAATTAGCTAGTTAGCAAACTAGCATTAACATAGCATTCGTAGTGTGCGAATTTCGATAGGGTTGTGTTGTCTCAAACCAAACACGGCCATTGTGCACTTACCAGAAATGACGACCGCAAATTAGCTAGTTAGCAAACTAGCATTAGCATTCGCGTTATTGTTTGCGGTACCAAATCATTACAGACTGCTAAATGAACCCAATAAACACACTGCTGGCTTATATCCGACAACAGCATAGTGGTGCTTAGTGCAAAAAAACACATGTATTTGTACAATGCAGCGACGTTCACTGTCACACAGTCCTCGGCCACCATTTCCAGTTTGAAAAGTGGTCCCTCCCCTTCCGTACGTAGCCAAGATGGCGACCACTGAGGGCGAGAAGTGTCCCTAGTTCCACACTCAACTTCTTGACCCTTTTGAGTGCACCATCCGGGTGTGAATGCATTTATGCACTCAAAATATTAAATGTAAGTACAGAAGTACACGATTTGAGACACAGCATGTGTGTATAGTTCCTATGTAGGAGAGGTGGTGGGGCCCTATGCATATCTGTGCCCAGTGGCTGACTGTCTTAATCCGCCCATGCTCCTGTAGCAGATTGTAGGACCTGGTTGCAGGGATTTCAGAGGAGTGTGTCGCATGTGATTGACCTCAGGGCTCTGTGGAGGCCGGGCAAGTTCTCCAACATCAGACTGGGGGAACCATTTTGTCATGTTGAAACAAGAAAGGGTCTAAGAAACTGTTGCCGCAGAGTTGGCGACACGCTATCATCTAAAACAGTGGTTTCCAACTGGTGGGTCCTGGTCCAAAAGTGGGTCCTGAGACCAGTCTGAATGAACCACAAGTGACTCGAGAACTAGTCAAGTTTGTATAACAAACTTTTTTTGAAGTACAGTGAACTTCTGGCACAGAGCTTTTACTTTGAAGTGACCAACAGACAGCTACATGACTATATGACCAAACCAAAGTATGACACAGAATACTTTTAACTGTGTGGACCTTGAACAAATGACAAAGGAAAAATCTGGACCCCCTGGCTGGACCAGTTGGGAGCCACTTATCTTGACTGGAACTAATGGGCCCAAACCAAACCGTCAAAAACAGCCATATACCAAATTTAAACAGGGGCGTCCACAAACTTTGACCTCAAAAATGACATTTATGATATGCATAACACCTCAATTCATATCATCCCAAACCAATTTCACTCTCATACACTCCAGCCCAAAGTCTCGCCAAGTGAATTATCACGTACACACATGTGCATGCACACCCACAAACGCATGTCAGATCACATCCACGCACACACACACACACAGACAGCACGCAGTCATTTGCCTGAACAGCACCGAGGTGCAGCGCTTTGCATGTGCAACGGCTCATAACGCACTGTGGCTTTGGAAGCTGCAGATACTTTGCTCCTGAGCAGCTCCTCCAGCAGCCCTGCGCCGGGCTATGACTCATACCGCCTGCCTTCTACTGATGCTGGAGACGGCAAGTAACACGGAAACGCACCGATAAACAACCACCAAATGTGCACCAGGCACGACCGAGCTCGAGGGAAGATCCGGGGACACGTCTTTCTCCTCTCTTTGGCACTTACCTTTCTTTGACGTTACAGAAACAAACTCAGATCCTCCTCGCAGGTGTCTGCTGCTGCTGCTGCTGCTGCTGCTGCCTGGCCAGTTCGTCTCCTCCTCCTCCGAGACGTCGCATCTCTCCCACAGTCCTGATGGAGAGGAGAATCCGCGCAGAGATCACCGAGGCTGCCCGGAGCTCGACGTGACGGCCCGGCGGAGCGTTTGCTGGGGTGCAGCCTGAAGAGTGCTCGAGTGTACCTCTCTGAGTGCAACCAGTCTGATGGATGTCGCTCGGTTTCCTCGAAGGGTGGAGGTTTGACGCTCCTGACGCGTTCAGGAACTCCGCAGAAAGTCGGATTTCTCACCGTTAGCAAACAGGCGCTTGTGTTTTTTGTTTTTTTCACAATTATGTTATATGTAATAATAATTATTATTATTATTATAACAATAATACTAATAATAATAATCATTATTATTATTATTGAATAATATTATGATGGCATATGATATTAATAATAAATATTAACATTATCTATGCTATTATTTATTTATTCATTTAATTTTCTATTTCTGATTATTTTTTGAAAAAAAAATCTGACAATTTATAATAATAACATTGATTATATTATTATTATTATTATTACATAAAATAATATTGATATTATATATAATATTATTAAAAAATATTAACGTTATTTATGTTATTATTCATTTATTTATTTGATTAATTGTCATTTATTTTTTTATCTCTGACAATTTCTAATAATAATAATAATAATAATACTGATCATTATTATTATTATTATTATTATTACGACCATTATAATTATTATATATAATACAATAATATTGATATTAATATATATAATATTATTAATAATATACATGTATTATCATTATTTATATTATTATTTATTAATTCATTATTCATTTTATTTATTTATTTATTTTCTCTGACTATTTTGTTTTAATCTTTTTGTTTTGGTTGTTTGTTTGTTTTTCTTATTGTTTTGTAGTTTTCCTGGGTTTTTTTTTTGGAAAAAATTTTTTTCATTTTGCCTTGGATTTTTAATTATATATTTGTTTTACTCTATGATGTAATGTTTGCTTGTGTGGACCCCAGGAAGAGTAGTTGCTACTTTGGTAGTGACTAATGAGGATCCAAATAAATAAATAAATATCCTGTGTTTTATATTACAAGCGCAAATTTTCCTGCCATAAATGTTGCACTTGGAGCAATCCTAATGCCATGTAAGAAGAGTCCTTTTTCATCAGCTTTTTATTAAAGAGACTGTTCACCCAAAATCAGTAATAGATAATTTTCTTCTTACCTGTAGTGCTATTTATCAGTTTAGATTATTTTGGTGTGAGTTACAGAGTGTTGGAGATATCTTCTGTAGAGATGTCTGCCTTCTCTCCAGTATAACAAACCTAGATGGCACTCGGCTTGGCAGACATCTCTACAGCTGATATCTCCAACAGTTGGCAACCAACACCAAAACAAAATGGATCAATAAAAAGCACTACAGGTAAAAGGAAAAATATGTGTTTTTGTTTGCTGCGTAAACTGTCCCTTTAACATGTATTAGTATATTTAGCCCCTTATTAGCCTACATCCCAAGAACTTTGTAGTTTTCTGGGCTAGGCCTGATCTACACGCAGTCTAATTTGCATCTTGAATAGTTTAACATTTGCTAGAAACATGCTTATTCGCTTTCTTGCTGAGAGTTAGATGAGAAAACCATATTCACTTTCAGTACATCACTTTAATAACTTCATTTTCAATACTTGGTAAACTAAGGTACCCAGCAAATATTTTTTCTTGTAACTAATTAAGTAAATTATTAATTTATTTCAAATAGCTTACAAAATTAGTTGGGTCTATAGATTTTTATAGATTGTTCTATGAAAACGTCACAAATTGTGGAATTGTTAACACTGTATTTTTACAGTTTTTGGAATGATCTATCCATAATTTACCTTTTTTTTTATTGTTTTAACATTTAAATTTTATTTGTAAAAAATCACAAAAACTAAAGAATATTTTTTTAAAAAAATGATATAACCACAGCAAATTTAAATGAACAGCTTAACTGAGTCAGTCGTGCAAGCAGTCTTGTTTTCAGCATGAATGCCATCACTGCATTTTTAAATTTATCCAAAACATTTTGAAAGTGATCAAATCGAGAGTTGTAGACTTTTCACTTCTTGTGAAAATCATGGACCTCTTTTATTATTCTACTGACCGGTAACTGAAAATTCACACTTCACCAAAATAAGAAGCCACCATACACACAAATGTAAGGTAAAGCTGAACATTCCTGCAGCATGTGAAGGCAGCGTCGTGTGTGAAACATGTAAATATGTGAGCTCACAGGGTCCTAGCGCCGACATTTAACGTCCTCATTCACTGTGGCCTAAATGTTCAACAGGTGGAAACACAAACAGTTCTTGTACTTTTGTTTTACATGATTAAATATAAAAGAAACATTAGAAATTAAATGAAAAGAAGGAGGTGGTGTTATTGGAGGCTGCGGCAGATGACAGGATGCTCTTGTTTTGAACTCCATGGTGAAGCTTTGCTGCTGTCAGTGTTTTTTCTTCAACAGTAAATCTGATCTCACACAGGTGATACATTTTAAACCCAAAGCTCTGAGTCATCAAGTCATTTCAAGACTGGGAATAAGATGGTCAAATATGCTGATGTGTAACGTATGGATCCAGTGTGCATTATAAAAATATCAAGGGTCCACATCAAATACTAATGCAGTGATGAAATATAAAAACTTAGGTGTCATGCAAGTTTACACTGAAACAAAGTAGGACAACAACAACAAGAAAACACTTTAAGAAATAACCTAAAATGTGCATCATGATCCAAAGATAAATCTCTAAAGACCCATGCACTGGGAAAAGGTTGCTAGGAAACAGCTTCATTTCCTGTTACTGCTTGATTTTAGCAAACATTGTAACAGGAAATAAACTTGGACACTTTTTTGACAGGTTATATTTTGTAAAGCACTCTGATGAGCAGACCAGGCATGTTATGAATGAGTGAATTAATGATCTCACTTCTTTTTTACACAAGACAAACCACTGTGATTACAATCATACACACTAGTCCATACCTGAGTGCACAGTTGTCCACGTACAGTTTCACACAGTGTGTGTTTTGATACAGGTCATAGGAAATTGCAGATTAAATAGTCACCTGAACCCATTAAGAAGAGCAATGTATTCAGACAGAGTTTTTGTGAATTTGATAGTACGATTGCTTTATTGAAAGTACAGTTGTACCATTGCCAATAGTGGGATAGTTAGTGGGCTAAAACTGTACATTAGTAGTTGAGGTAGCACGTTGAAAGGCAGATAGTTAAAGTGTTTGTATGTTATATTGACTTAAAAGTGGGGCGCACTGGTAGTTCACATGAGAAAGGTGCAGCTAGCCCTTGTTGCAGCAGCATACCATACCATGACTTAGTCATACCAACAATTAGAAAAAAAACAAAACATTGGTCCACAGGGGGAGCCACAGTGATCGGTCACATTTTAGCCATTTAAAAGCATTTTTCTGTTGTTATAGCACCACCCAGTTGCCAATTAGAGTTAAATTTCTCCAGTCGCCTTGAGGCGTCCTGTTCTACATATCTACCAAGTTTAGTAAAAATCAATATGGCGGTTAGGCCTAGATAAGAAATTAGCTCTCTAGCGCCCCCATTTTGTTTGATGGGGTCAATAAAGGAGGGGTCCCCTCAGATTATGTGTGGTCATATGCCTACAAAGTTGCGTGGTGATGGGTGAAACCCTTGAGATGTTATACACCTGTATGTGATGAGCCACGCCCTCAGCAATATTCATTGCCTTATAGAAGCTCAGTTTTAGTAAGTTTTCCAACTTTTGCCAAGAGGGAACTTTAGATATTGGTCCCTAGATTATGTTCACAGAGTTTCATGCAGATCGGTCAAACTTCCTAGGAAAAGATCGATTTTAAGTGTTTTTCAAAAAATTCAAAATGGTGGAAAATCTATATAACCGGAAGTTATGGGTTCTTGAGCCACATGTGTTTCTCATGATGAGAGGCATCTCTGTGCAAAGTTTCATGTCTCTACGACATACAGGGCATGAGATATGCCCATTCAAAGTTTGCAATTTCAATCGGTTGCTATAGCGCCCCCTTTGGCCAACTGATGTAATATTGCTTTATTCGCATCCTCCCATGACCCTCTACCACTGTGCCAAATATCACATGGCTTGACCAAGTCAGTGAGGAGAGAAACGTGGAACAGACACACACACACACACACACACACACACACACACAGAGTTTTCGTCATTATATAGTAAGATATCTCATTTAATTAAGGACATTAGTTCAAAGTTTGAAGTGCAAAAATAGGGAATATTCGCTATAGGTGGCTTAGTTACAACACCACAATACAACTAACCCTGCTGGATAGAAATTTTCTCAAGCCTATAGCTAACACTTAATGGGAGTTGGTCACATAGTTCAAAATGGTGCTGTGTTTTAGGCAACAAGACAGTTGTTAAGATGATATATGGTTGGATTTGATGGCTCAGTAATCAAAAAAGAAGTATGACAAAGACATTTACTTATGTCCGCTGAAAACACTCTTTGTCACTGAACTCTGCTGACACACGTCCAAAGTCTGTGGAATTTCACGGGTCACTGTTTGGTGGTATCGCAGTCAACTGGCTTGAAGCACTAAAGGATTGACCATGTCTAACCACATAAAAAGTCCAAATTACAATTTACCCCACATCAAATTGGGCCCTGCGTTCCCCTACATAATAACATGAGAATGTAATATATCTGTGGTTTGCAGAAATGTACAATGCCAACATTTATTCTAGTCCTTGGGTTGGCTGAAAATACTCACTAAATTAAATGTGAATTATTCCGCTACTGAAAATAGTCCCCAACAAATGCACTATTTAGTCCTGTCTAAGTTGCGTTTGCTAAAATCTACATTGCCCAGCTGTTTTAGAAAATTACTAATTACTTTTTTTTTTAAATAAAAATGTATTTGTGACACCATTTTTTTTATCTTCAGCTGGAATCAACGGGCGTTGAGCTGAGAATCACAGACGGGGAAGTCAAAGTATCGAGAGACGGACTTACACATTGTTTATTTTGTCTTTTCACAAGATTTGCTGACAATAAGAAAAAAAGAATAGAGTAACGCCAGCCTTCTCTTTAAAGCACTGTTAATTATGTCAGCTTCTGAGTGTGTTATTGTACTGTTGTGTCTCTCTGGGTGTGTTTCTATAATCAAGAGTCTAACAGGCGGTTTTCTTTCCCAAATGTATAGTATTTTACATATTGAACCATACCTTCTTCCTGGGTTCCACTTAATCTTTCAATCAAAAATTACTGGCAGCATTTTAGTTGTCATGGATACCAAGCGCCTCTGCAAACATGTAAGATGCCAAAGCAAACGCTCTATCCACTCCTGAATACGAGTACACACATCTTTTCAGCAATCTTGTAGTGACTGCTGGTCAACATTGAGTGTGTATGTGTAGCTCTGCGTGCACATGTGCATGACCACGTGAGCGTGTGTGTCTGAGATGCAGGCATGCTTGAGTGAATCCACGTTTGATATGATCATGCATGTGCTGATGTCAAGCCGCGTTAAGGATCAAAGTTTTACCAGCACAACCTGTTGCCATGGAGACATGAAAGTGGATTCAGCATGTCATGTTTCTCTGGTCTAATTATGTAGGAAATATAGAGACTGTCATATCGGGGCCCCGTGTTAAATCAGAAAAAAAAATATATACTGAACAAATGAAGAACTGGAAAAGCTGACAAGAGTACAGACAAGTCAAGCGTGTATTTTGTAAACAAAAAGGTTACAGACTCTGTCATGCACCCTGAATGTAGCATCAGCTTTGCCCTGCAATGTATTTTCTTGCAGTTACTTTTACTTGTCACATATTCTGCAAAAACTGCCTTTTGGTATTATATCCTGCATATTCTTGGGTTTGTTTAAACTGACCCTGATTGCTAACATCAACATGCTAACATGCTAACAATTACAATGCTAACTTGCTGATGTTTAGTAGGTATACTGTTTGGCATGTTCACAATCTTAGCATAATGTGTTTGCATGCTAACATTTCCTAATTGGCACTTAAGCTGATGCAAATTGATAAATAAATGTCCAGCGTGAAGGATTTAGGGGGACATATTTGCAAAATTGGAATATAACAAGAATGTTTTCTTAAAAATAAGAATGTTTTTGTCACTGTAGAATGAGCTGTTTATATCTACATAAGGAGTGGGTCCTTATATATGAGTATATTATATAGAGTCCGACACTATGTTTCACAGTAGCCAAGAACACACAAACCAATGACTCTAGGGTCATTCCAGTTTTTGCGTTGGCCACCTTAGTTACCAGCCTCTCTGTAGCGAGCAGCGTCAGAAAAACACAGATTTCAAAAGTGAAAGTGCTTTATTCAGTGTTTTAAAAGGGTTTAAATCAATAGGTCTGTTTGTTTTGGAGAGAAAGAGACTTCTGCAGATGACTCAACTCACGGTATAAACCTCCTGAACATCTGGATCTTAAGTTATCAGAAAAAAAAGTGAGCATAGATTAGATTAGCAGGTGCTAGGTTAGCAGCCTGTCTCCAACATGCCAAACAGCATCAGAGAAACACTAAATTGTAGTGTGAGACTGCTTTATACGGTGTTTTTACAGGATTAAATCACCTCGTCTGCTTATTTAGGAGAGAAGGAGACCTCGGCGGATAATTCAGCTCCCAGTAAAAACCTCCTGAACAATGAACACTGAAGGATTTTTAACTGGGAGAAGTTTCAGCTGGTTACAATCTGCAGTCCTCACCACTAGATTCCACTAAATCCCCCTAAACCTTGAACCTTTAAAGTCTTGTCCAGAGGTTGGCATCAGATGAAAAGTCAGAGTCATCACCAAAGTTATTACAGTTCCTCTTGAGTGGGAAGTGGATGTTTGTACCTCACTTCAGTCGATCCAGTGGTTGTTGAGATGTAGCTGCGTGCATATACTTGCTTGTGCAAGATGTAAACATTACTGGTGTCCTCCTCAGCAGAGCTTCAACGTTAGCTAGCTCAGTGGTGCTAGGTGAGCTAGCACTAGATACACGCCTCCTTCTGCATAGTTTGGCGGGTGTAGTTTTGTAGAAAGTAAATAGTTCCTACTAGGGCATTAACGACTTTGATTTTTTTTCAGGTCGACTTATCTGTCAATAAAGTCTAAGTCGAGTCGACAAGTCATTTGATGATGTCATCACATTGGCACGGTGGAGGAAAGTGAAGTATCTCCACACATGTGATGTGTGTCTGTCAAGGCCCGAACATACTCGGGCGGAATGTACGCGGAACGGACTCTGCGGAGGTCCGCGCGGACTCAAAGTGGACGTCCGCAAGCCCTGTGCGCGCAAAGCTCAGATTTTACACTGCGCTGACTCCGCTCCGCGCACCAGTGACTGCTCGGCATGTATTTTTCACATCGCGGGGATTTTTCAGACATTTTTACAGGAAACTACAACGCGGAAGTGTGCTCGACTATGAAAGCCTGAATGACTGCGGACATTCCTCGCAGAGTCGGCTCCGCTTATAGTACGCCCGAGTATGTTCACTTAGTCAAGGATAAAGTATCAGCGTAAGCCAATCAGAGGCAGCGATTGCATTCCATACACAAGCACACAGAGAGAGAGAGGGAAAAAACACACAACTTGTCGACTCCTCCCGGGGGTTGTCAACTTGTGCCACTGACGTCGACACGTCGACAAATCGACTTTTCTGTTAATGCCCTAGTTCCTACGTGAAACTGCTCACAACAAGGTCTGTGGATTATCTTGAGTAATCAGATCATGATTTCTGTAAGAGACATTGCTGTTGAATTTATTAAATGTGTATTTAGGCACTTTGAGCACCACTGTGTACAATGCCATCTAATTCTATTATATTAAAGAGAAGACAGAAATCTCTATGGGCCGATATCTCCAACATTCAGCAACTCATACCATAACAATCTAGACTAATAAACAGCACTACATGTAAGAGGAAAAATATGTATTTTTTATTCTGAGGTAAACTGTCCATTTAAACACACAGGTCACAACAAGCCACAAAGGCTGAAACTACACTGCAAAGACAAACTAAAACTGAGGGAATTAAACAGATGTCAATAACTGGCATTGAGTGAATATTAAGCCAAGGGGGGCATCTAGTGGTCAAACACAGACATGACAAAGAAGCCCAATCAAACTGAGGGTCCAGGGGTTGCTGACAGACTGCAAGGAAGACACCTTTCATAGCACTGGGAGGAAAAAAAAACAGTGGTATGTGCTGCTCTCTGATTGGTCAGCCAGCATCCTGTGTAACAGTCTAATAAGTAAATAATTCACTACAGCAAATATGTACAGGTAGTCTGAATAGGTTAATTATTTTCAGTCAACTAGGCTACTTGTATTGCTTCTGTTACAGACCTACACAAAGCACAGTATCTCCTTTACTGACCCAAAACACATGTTGCTGAAGTGTACTGTCAAGGAATCCTATTACAAATGCTTTAACTTCTATACGAATATGTCATGTCAATAAAATATAGTAGAGTGTATAGATAACATTTTATGACTTTGGGTCAGCATTTAAAGGCTGACATGACAAGGTTCTGACAGAGATGACAAAGCAATCATAGGGAACTTGTGGTAAATACAAGAGGTTTTGGTCATCATATCAACCTATAATTAAACTCATCATTGGCTGGGTTAGTTTTAATGTTGCACTGTAAGCAGACAATGTTATTAGGTTGAACTACTTTTATGTCCTATACCCTTCACTTCTTGTAAACAGGGGCTGTAAACCAGCTGCCTCACTGAAACCGCTCCTCTTCCTGAACTGAATCTTAGCGTAAATAACCCCTCCCTCCTCCTGCTGCTGTCCAACACAGCCACTTCCATTCAGTCTAGACATTTCCTGTGTCCCGCCTCTTTTGCAGATCTGCCAGTGCACAGATGGGCGTAACCAACATGTTGTTAAGTGAAGCCCCATTCACTGCAGATGAGCATGCAAACATGAGAGGAAGAGGGAACTGCGCTTTTGTTTGGATCACTTCTCAGTTTTTATCTTGTGTGAGAAAGTGAAACTATTTCTCTGAGAGGTGAAATGGCGCAGCAACAAAACCTGATGGATCGGAAAAAGCTTTGCTGTTCGATCTGTCTGGATCTACTGAAGGATCCTGTGACTATTCCCTGTGGACACAACTACTGTATGAGCTGTATTAAAAGCCACTGGGATGAAGAGGATCAGAAGCAAACCCACAGCTGTCCTCAGTGCAGACACACCTTCATGCCGAGGCCTGCTCTGGTGAAAAACACCATGTTAGCAGATTTAGTGGAGGAACTGAAGAAGACAGGACTCCAAACTGCTCCAGCTGATCACTGCTATGCCGGACCTGAAGATGTGGCCTGTGATGTCTGCACTGGGAGAAAGCTGAAAGCTGTCAAGTCCTGTCTGCAGTGTCTGGTGTCTTACTGTGAGCAGCACCTCCAGCCTCACTATGAATCCCCTGCCTTTGAAAAACACAAGCTGGTCGACCCCTCCAAGAAGCTTCAGGAGAACATCTGTACTCATCACAATGAGGTGATGAAGATTTTCTGCCGCACTGATCAGAAGTGTATCTGTATTCTCTGCTCCTTGGATGAACATAAAGATCACATGACAGTCTTAGCTTCAACAGAAAGGGCTGAGAGGCAGAAAGAGCTCGGGGTGAGTCAACAAAAGATCCAGCGGAGAATCCAGAACAGAGAGAAAGTTGTGAAGGCGCTACAACAGGAGGTGGAGGCTATCAATCACTCTGCTGATAAAGCGGCGAAGAACAGTGAGAAGATCTTCACTGAGCTGGTCCATCTTATCAAAAATAGAAGTTTTGATGTGAAGCAGCAGATCCGATCCCGACAGAAAACTGAAGTTCGTCGGGCTATAGAGCGTCAGGAGAAGCTGCAGCAGGAGATCAACGAGCTGAAGAGGAAAGACATCGAACTGGAGCAGCTCTCACACACAGAGGACCACACCCAGTTTCTATACAATTACCCCTCCCTGTCATGTCTTAGTAAACCTACAGATTCACCCAGCATGAGTAAGAGCATTCTGCAATACTTTGAGGATGTGACTGCGGCTGTGTCACAGGCCAGAGACAAGCTACAGGACATTCTTAGTGACGTGTGGACCAACATATCAGAGCCTGAAGTGGAGGTTATATTGCCACAACCTCAGCCCAAGACCAGACCTGAATTCTTACAGTATTCACAACTAATCACACTGGATCCAAACACAGTAAACACACAGCTGTTATTGTCTGATGGGAACAGAAAAGCAACAGTAATGGCTGACAAGCAGCTTTATTCTAGTCATAAGGACAGATTTACTGACATGTTTCAGGTTCTGAGCAAAGAGAGTCTGAGTGGACGACACTACTGGGAGGTGGAGAGGAGCAGATATGAGGTCTCAGTAGCAGTCACGTACAAGGATATCAGCAGAGCAGGATATGAAAGTGGATTTGGAAATGATGACAAGTCTTGGGCTCTGGAGTGTTACAACAACAGTTATCAGATCAGACATAAAGGTATCGGCACTCCCATCTCAGGCCCTCAGTCCTCCAGAGTGGGAGTGTACCTGGATCACCCTGCAGGTATTCTGTCCTTCTACAGCGTCTCTGACACCATGACTCTCCTCCACAGAGTCCAGACCACATTCACTAAGCCGCTCTATCAGGGACTTGGTGTTTTTGGTTCACATGGTGACGGATCTGCTGCGGAGTTCTCGAAGCTTGAGTAGATAGAAGTTAGGAGGCAATAAGTGCAGGGGTGTGACGTCACCTGGTTTGTGGACTACTGTTTTGAAGCCTTGAGTTTGGCATTTTGGTTTCCATCTTGTTTTTTTGAAGCCAGAAGTGACCATATGTGGAGGAGCGAGAGGTGGATCTGAGTGAAAACCTGAGGACACTATGCACAACTTATCAATCACAGGGTGGACATGTCCTAAAGCATACCCTGCTTTCTTGTTTATTTTACTCTAGATGGGAGTATCATTTACAAAAGAAGACTGGAAACCAGCAACTGAGACCATAAACTCTTTAGGAAAATGTTTACTGAGGGTATTTTCTGATAGACTTAAATACAATGTGGCAAATTTTTACCATCACTAGAGTCGCCACCTGCTGGCCTTTAGTAAGAATGCATCATTGGCTTTCCTTGACAGACCCAGAGGCTATATAACAGGTGCACTTCTCTTATAGTCTATGGGAATGTCTCATTAGCTTCACAGAGATTCAAACGTGCTTCATGATTTCATAACAGGTTTTGCTTTGTCTTTTTCATTTTGATCTCACTCTGCAGGAACTATAAGACTGAAATGTATAACCATTATCAAACAATAACCCTATCATAGAGCTATGCAAATACATCTGTCGTTATTATCACATTATTATGGTTTGGGCTCATGAGGTAGTTCAGGCGATGTTTACTGCAGCTGCTCCTCTTCCTTTGAGAAGCCAAGATATGGCACATTTTGGATTTATGAGTGTGGTTGCAGTCTTTTTTCTGCCATGTTTACTCATGAAATTTGAAATGTTTATTTCCAGTACATTTTGATAATGAAGAAATAAATCAGCAGTTGATTTATAGGTAGATTTACAGTCAATCCAGACAGACATGATTTATTCCAGTATTTACAGAAACTCACATTACTCCAATCACCGAAGGTTCAGTCTTCCTAATACATTTTTAAAAATGCATTCCCAAAGACTTAGCCTCAGGCACACAATATGCAACCAGTGCACTATTTGCACTGTTTTTATATATAAATACTTAGGCAGTTGCACAGTGATTAAATTTGCACCTTTACTTATAGTGTTCATTTATTTTATGTAACCAGTGCACTTTTGCTTTGAACTTGTGATTTTGTTTTCTACAAACCTGTTGTATGATCTTTGTATACAATAATGATGAAAATCTCTTTGCAAATAAACTTAATATTATCAATTTGGCTTCCTTGAAACTTGATGTTCATTCAGTATTACACTAACTGATAATAATAATAATAATAATAATAATAATAAAAATGAGAACTGAAAACAACCAGCTGTCTGAAAATTGTGAGTTTAAACTTACTTGAGTAGGCCTACAGTTTTGAGGTGGCTGAGCTTTACTTGAGTACTTACATTTTATTTAGTTTATACTCATACTTCACCAGATTTAAAAGGCAAATATACTTTTAAAAACATTTTTCTGACAGTGGTAGATCCTACGTACAAAACACTAAGGATGTTATACTACTCTCAACATAGTTTAAACATTATAAATTAAAATGCTGTTCATATTTTAACATCTTTCTTTGTTATTATTATTATTAAATGAATGAATGAATGATCTTTATTGCCATTATACTCAGATAAAATGAAGTTTTGCAAGGACTCCCTCTGTAGTTAAAAAATAAGAAAATAAAATGAAAAATAAAAGCAATGTAAGGCAGTAAAAGTGGTGTATAGCAAGTAGCCCACACCTTTAAAACATAAAATAAAATAAAAACCAAAACAAACAAAAAAAGACAACTGAAAATAATGAAAAATAAGAAAATAAAACAAAAAAAAAAGCAGTGAAGAGCAGTACTGGTGGCGTATAAAGGCCTGTGCAAGTAGCCTACACCTTTTAAAAATCAAATAAAACCAAACAAAATAAAATAAAATAAAATGAAAAAATATAATAAATAAAATTTTGGGTTCAGCCCCCTTGCAGTTACAAAAAATTAATGAATGAAGGATGAATGAAAATAAAATAAAAATAATTAACAAAATAATAATAATAATAATAATAATAATAATTATAATAATAATAATAGAAACTAAGAGGGGCCATTGTGATGCCTAATAAATAATACTGATATTTAATGTTTCTAAAGTATTATATTAGAGTCAGAGAGGATTCAGAGGGAACTTATTTTACCAAGAGAACCTCAAAAATATGTTAATAAGCGGAACCATTTGTCAACGGAAGAGCCCGACTGCGCCAACACGGACTGTTTTTGTGTAGCACACCAGAACACGGAAGTGAAGCGCTGCTCCTGTGTCTGTTGATGTTGTCGTCTTCGCACCGGGCAGAGAAGTTAATATTTGGGACATAATGGCGGTGAGCGCCGTCCACCTGGAGTCAGACGCCTTCCTGGTATGTATGAATCACGCGCTCAGCACAGAGAAAGAGGAAGTGATGGGTTTGTGCATCGGAGAGGTGGAGACTACCCGGATCGTCCACATCCACTCCGTCATCATCCTCCGCCGCTCGGACAAGAGGAAGGACCGGGTAGAGATCTCCCCGGAGCAGCTGTCAGCAGCCTCCACGGAGGCGGAGAGGCTGGCCGACATGACCGGCAGGCCGATGCGGGTGGTCGGCTGGTACCACTCCCACCCGCACATCACCGTGTGGCCCTCCCATGTTGACGTGAGGACCCAGGCGATGTACCAGATGCTGGACCAGTGCTTCGTGGGCCTCATCTTCTCCTGCTTCATAGAGGACAAAAACACCAAAACGGGCCGGGTGCTGTACACCTGCTTCCAGTCCGCGCAGGCGCAGAAGGGCTCCGAGTACGAGCGGGTGGAGATCCCCATCCACGTCGTGCCCCGGGAGGCCATCGGTAAGGTGTGCTTGGAGTCGGCCGTGGAGCTCCCGCGCATCCTGTGTCAGGAGGAGCAAGACACGTACCGGAAGATCCACAGCCTGGCGCACCTGGACCCGGTCACCAAGATCCACAACGGCTCGGTGTTCACCAAGAACCTGTGCAGCCAGATGTCGGCGGTGAGCGGGCCGCTGCTGCAGTGGCTGGAGGACCGGCTGGAACAGAACAAGCAGAGCATCGTGGAGCTGCAGCAGGAGAAGGAGAGGCTGCTGCAGGAGCTGGCTGCTCTGTGAGCCGGGGGGACAGCGAGGGTGGAGGAGGACGGTGTGGAGGACACCATCGGTTCTTCTTCTGTTGTTGGACTAAAGAAACGATCTGCTGTTTTTCCTGTTGGCTTCTTCACCATTTTCTTGCCTTCCATGGAGGTACAACAGTGTCACTAAGTTTTGGCATTGAAAACAAAATTTGGCATTGAAAACGATAATATTGGCCCAAAAAAAATAAATAAATTGAAAAACAAAACACAAGCATAAAAATGTATTTTATTATTTATATTTTTTGCCTGATTTTCTTAATTTTTTTAGTGTCATTTAAAAAAAAATTGCAGGGAAATATTAAACATAAAGAGAATATCATGAAGAAAAAAATGAAAGATTGTCATTGAAAACGCATTGGAATACAAACAATATTAGAATAAAATAAAAAATAATTTCAATGCCTGTGTTTTATTTTTCAGTGAATTTTTTTCAGCGCCAATGTTTTCTTTCTCACTGCCAAAATTTATTTTTGATGCCAAAATCACTGTTCTAGATCCATATTTTTGAACCTCAATACTTTTGCTGTACCAGCCGAGAAGTGTCCATAATGTAAAGTATTGAAAAATGTCTAATAGCAAATGTTTGCATTAAATGTCAGGTAAAAATCAAAGTCCTGATTACTTCTTCTTCTTCTTCTGTCTTATTTTAAATCATTATTTTGCCTAATGTATTATACATATAGAAAATAAAGTATAAATATTTAGAATTAAAAAATATTGTGTTAAGATGGGGGCTTAAACTAATGATTCAATAATAAATAATCTGCTTTTTTTAAATTCATTAATCATTTGGTCTAAAAAAAAATTAGAAAATCGTGAAAACTGGCCATCACCATTTTCTAAATCACCAAATTGATGTCTTCAAATGTTTTGTGTGACCAACTGTCCAAAACCAAAGTACTTTCAAGATACTCAGATTTATAATTTACTGTCACATAAGCTAAACTGAAGCAGCAAATCACCACAACTGCAAACTGTTACTATGTAATGCTGGACAACATTGCTTTAAAAATATCTTGATTAATAATAATGTGAGCACACGGATTATTGAGCTGTGTGCTCACATTATTATCTTGTGCACATAAGACCATGCTGCCACCAGCTGGTTTCCATTAATGTCAACACAGTGTTAAAATCAACTTGCAGAGATTTTAGACTGCCGCTCGTCATTCCAGTCAACGTTATAATTTTGTGGTACTTGGTTTGAAGGATGAAGATGAGTATGAGCTGATCGACAGAAGAAAAAACTATTTTGAGAATCAATCTTTAAATAACGAATCAAGCGAAAGTTTTCGTTCCAGCTTTGGTTGTGGACTGTTGGTGAGACAAAGGTGTCACTTTCAGCTTTGGGAAACTGTCATGGACATTTTGTCATCATTAGGCAGGGCTTCATTACATGTGGTAATGATGGATTAACAGGATTTTTGAATCAGTGTGATGAAATACATCAACTGATCAAGAATCGGCCCAGTCGAGTGGCGTAGTTAATGCCATCACAATTTTCTAACGCCCAATGATTCAGTCATCATTTTGTCTTCAGCTTTCTCATACTGTCCAACCAACAATCCAAAACTGATCAGCAGTGACTTATTTCCCCCAATGGTCATAAGAGAATCTAGAGTTTTTATCATTTAACCCATTGCTATTATTTGTTAAAAAGAAGACCGTATCATTGCCATATAAATTAAACATATTTGTATTGAACAAAAAATTAAATACAACTTTTGTTCTTGATCCCATTTTTCACAGGTTTAAGTTAAAGATCTAAGACTTTTTTTATGCGCTCAAAACTGTGGTGGGGAAAAGGCCTAGAAATACTTGACCCTTAAGGTCAAGTTAGAAGCACAACATACTTATTAAAACTGAGCAACCCTGAACGGTCTCACTCTGGGGAAGAGTCTTTGAGCAGAGTGACCTGGCAAACATTGTGATGGGGAAATAGATGTCGTTGGCAGAACAAAGTGTGGTAGAACGCCAAGTACGATGAAGATATGCGCGAGTGCTGGATTCGGCACACACACACACACACACACACACACACACACACACAGAAAGTTAGGTATTGTGTTTATCTGAGGAGGAGTATAAAAATGATCGGTGAACTGCTCGACGAGGCTGTCTCATTGCTGCAATATGTGAAATCTGTATGTGTGTCTGGAATAAAATCCCGTAAAGGCTGCAAGATTGATCCTTTGTCATAAGACTCCTTCTACAATACGTATATTTCTGTCAAAATTTGGCCCATCTCCTTTTTAAAGATAATCCCCTCACCTGACAGGTGCGGCACAAGATGCTGATTAAACAGCATCATTACCACACAGGTGTGCCTCGAGATGGTCACAATCAGGCTGGTTGAATGTGCTACCAACTCACAGAAATGACAATGGAAACAGCTTATGGTAGTGAAATGATCATTGAGTTCAGGGGCAACAGCTCTGGTGGACACTCCTGCAGTCAGCATTAGGGACATCTGTAGCACCAAAATCTGAAATATCTATCAAGTGCATACAAATCAGTCTGAGATCTTTGGCTCAAACCTGTAAAAAATGGGAGCACAAACAAAAGTGTTGCTTTTAAATTTTTTTGTTGTAGTTTAGCTTCGTCAAGTGAGTGAAACAATGCAAGACACAGAAGTGTTTGTCATGTCTGTGTTGTACCACAAGGTGTCCCCACTGGCTTCCCTTTCCCTTGGTGACGCTCATCATCTCCATTTATCATTAACACATTAACGTGTTTAGACGTTGCAAGATTACCTACTTTATCTCTTTTTGAGTTTTTGCACCTCAGTTTCTCTTAGTTTTTAGTTTTGTTTCTTGTTTCAACCATTGTCTGAAGAAAATTGATTGTTTAATTGAATTTTATTTTAAACATAAAACAAAAAAACAACAATAAAATTAAATTAACAATAAACCCATATACAGACTTACTTAATGAATAAATTCTCTTGGACAACACAAATTAAAGCTTACATGTTTGAACAGCAGTAGGAGGAAGTATACACTTATCTAATCCTTCTCCAGTACTCAGTAATTCCTTTGATGTGTCACTCAAACCAGTTTTACGGTTTCGGTCAAAAAAAAACCCCAAAATTAACTGAAGCAATATTGTGTATTTACAAAACCAACTGAAATAAAGTAAAAATAGACAGGAAATGTCTTAGGGTTTAGTTTTTGTCAATTTGTTTAAATTGTCTGGGGCAAGATTCCTTAAATCTTGCCCCAGACAAATACCCTCATACTATTAAAAAAACAACAACAACTAAAGCAGCTATTACAGAAACTAATAAAAACTAGACTTAAACGTTACATTTTTAAGCAATAAAAACTAAACTTAAACCAAAAAGCCACTCTGAAAACTAACTGGTACATAACTGAATAAAATCAAAAATTTAAAATGAAATGAAATAAAAAACTACTGAAAAATACAAAACTCCTGGAACAAACACACTTCTTTACTTCAAGGAAAATAAATCAACTTTGTTCATATATCAAATCAATAAATTCTTCTACAGGACTCAATCATGTGTAGCTTTTCATCTACATATTTACTGTACACACAGCAACAGTATGGTAAAAAAAAAGAAAGAAATAATTTCCCTAGTGATGAATTAGAAAAATGATCAAAACTTAACTCTACTCTTGGGGCGTCAGTGGCTTAGTGGTAGAGCGGGCGCCCCATGTGCAAGGCTGTTGCCGCAGCGGCCCGGGTTCGACTCCAGCCTGTGGCCCCTTTGCTGCATGTCACTCCCTCTCTCTCTCTCTCTCTCCCCCTTTCATGCTTGCTGTCCTATCGATTAAAGGCTTAAAAATGCCCCAAAAAATATCTTAAAAAAACAAAAACTTAACTCTACTCTTCTGAATACTCTGACAATGTGAGAATAAACATGTAATCAACTAGTCAGCTGTGATTAAAAGAAGAAGACTTGCAGTGCTGCTCAGTGAAGCCCTAACAAACAAACAGGGCAGAAAATATGACAGCAACAATGCAAATATGGAAATTTAGCACAACTATATACACCAAACAAAAGGTCACATTTTCCTGTGGATGAATGTCCATTTTGAGCTGAGTCAACCTTTATCTAATTTGCAAAGCCCACTCTGTTTGCCGATCTAAACAACTGTTGTTTGGAGGGAAAACTCCCGCATCAACTCTTGCCTGCTTGACTTCCCAAAATTCAGCTGTAGATCCAAAATAGCAAACACCGAGTCCAGCGTAGAGAGGCTCAGTGAATGTGGTCTGGACTTTGTGGATTGGAGTGATAGTTTCAGAGACGCTGTAGAAGGACAGAATACCTGCCTTGTAATCTAGAAACACTCCTACTCTGGAGGACAGAGGTTTTGTGATGGTAGTTTTGATACAGTTATGTTTGAAATCGTAAGTCGTATGCATACTTTTCTTCACACAGTCTAATGTCCAAGACATGTCATTTTCTCCAAACCTACTTTCATCTCCTGTTCTGGCAATGGCCTTGTATGCGACTGCTACTGAAACTCCTAAACCACTCCACTACACTTCCCAGTACTGACGTCCACCCGTCAGACTTTTTTTACACAGAACCTGAGACCTGCTCATAAATCTGTCTTGATGAACGGGATATGACTGTTCATCTCTCAACAGTGTTGCTTTTCGGTTCTCTTTAGATAATACCAGTTGCATGCTTGCTGTGTTTGGATCAAGTTCAAACCAATTCTTGTGAACTGCATATTGTGATAATTCAGCTCTCGTCTGGGGATTTTGAGGAAGTAAAACATCCACTTCAGTCACTGTCTTTGAGATCTTGTTCCATTCCTTGTTACAAGTGTCCTGTAGTTTTTTTCCGGCTTCTGACACAGCTGCAGTCACATCCTCAAAGTGTCGCACAGGATGGATTTTGATGCTGGATGACTCCTTAAAGTTGGTAAGGTTTGGCAGTGAGGGGTAGCTCCGCAGAAACTGGGTGTAATTCTATGTTTGTACGAGCTTCTACAGCTGATAGCATAATTGCCTCAGTTCAGTGATCTCCTGCTGCAGCTTCTCCTGAAGCTCTTTGACCCGACTGACTTCACTTTTCTGCCGGGATCTGATCCGTTGCTTCATATCTGTCCTTTTTTTCTCAATAAGTTGGACTAGCTCTGTGGACATCTTCTCACTGTCCAACACAGCTTTATCAGCAGAGCGGTTGATAGCCTCCAGCTCCTGCTGAAGCACAGTCACATCTTTCTCTCTGTTCTGGATTCTCGGAGGGATGTGTTGCCATCTCACACTGAGCTGTTGCTGCTTTTTCCTCATTTCTGCTGCAGCTGAGACGGTGTCGTGGCCTTTATGTTCATCCAAGGAGCACAGATAACAGATACACTGCTGATCAGTGCGGCAGAAAATCTTAATCACCTCAATGTGACGAGTACAGATGTTCTCCTGAAGCTCCTTCGAGGGGTCGACCAGCTTGTGTTTCTTTAATGGAACAACTTCATAGTGAGGCTGGAGGTGCTGCTTACAGGCAGAAACCAGACACTGAAGACAGGACTTGACAGCTTTCCGCTTTCTCCCAGTGCAGAAATCACAAACAACATCTTCAGGTCTGGCATAGTGATCAGCTGGAGCAGCTTGGAGTCCTGTCGTCTTCTGTTCCTCCACTAAATCTGCTAACATGGTGTTTTTCACCAGAGCAGGCCTCGGTACAAAGGTCCGTCTGCACTGAGGACAGCTGTGGATTTGCCTCTGATCCTCTTTGTCCCAGTGGCTTTTAATACAGCTCATACAGTAGTTGTGTCCACAGGCAATAGTCACCGGATCCTTCAGTAGATCCAGACAGATCGAACAGCAGAGTTTTCTCAGGCTAAACTGATCTCCTTGCTGTGCCATTTTACTTCTCGCTGATAATGAATATTGTGGAGCTTTTGAACAAAGAGGGAGTGGTTTACTGCTTCATTCCCGAAAGAGGAGTGCTTAGAAACAACCTGTTTGTGTTCATCCCCTAAAGGATGAACACAAACAGGTTGTTGTTGAGTTTTTAATTAATTCCTAAGAGAAGCAGTTTGAACTTTAGTTGTAATCCAGTTTCCTACATGAAGATCAGATGATACAAACTGGACAAGACAACCAAAATATTAAGTGCTCTAAACTGACCCTACCTGCAAAGATAAAATAAAAAAGTAAGTCTTTTAGCAGGTTTAACATGCCTTGCTTGTTTTGGAAGTCCACAGCTGTCTTCTGTGTCCTGCTGACCAGATCAGTTGGTTTTACAAACCTTTATTTTATTTTTTGTAATTAATATTCACTACCCACAGCTCCTTTCTCAGTTTTTGCTTTCTTTTGAAATAAGATCTTTCCATGAAATGACTCTTCCAAGTTTTTTTTGGCACATCATCATTCTTATGAACAATCACAAACATGTTTGGGCAATCAAAATGATTAAGACCTGACTTGACTTCATGAAACAAAGTTGTTATGGTATTTCACACACACACACACACACACACACACACACACACACACACACACACACTTGGCCTCAGGGCATGATGAAAAACCGTTGTTGTAATGAACAGTGATTGAGCAATCCGAGGAGTGGTTTCTATTCAGTATTTTTAGGTCATCACAGAAGTCAACATTGCCTGGTTACCTAGACCAGTGGGATTTTCCTCTCGGGTTATTAGACTTTTGCAAAAAACATTGTGACGTTGGCCCTAAAAGGGTCTATAAGATGTCTCGGGTTTCGAGTAGCAATATCTCTGCCTCCCTTGTTGATAGGAGCTTAAATTCTGTCTGCATTTCAGTTAGGGTCAATGCATAATGTTTGTCTAGTTCAGCTATTGACTATAGTAGCTCTTGTTTTTTTCTCTCTTTATTTGTTAATAATTAAGTGGACACCTGTCTTTATCTGGACATATTTTCCCCACAAATACAACATGCTAATGTTTTTAGCACAAGCCTATGGCATTTTACATTGTATAAATTAGCCTAGCAGCTAGTGGACTTTTCCTCCTTTTCAACAGCAACATTTAACAAAGGTAACATTACAAAATCCGGCTCCATTACAACTCACAAGTTTCACGGACAAAACAACTGTCTGATAATAAACATGTTTTCCAAACAAATACAACATGCTAATGTTATTAGCACAAGCCTATAGCATTTTACATTGTATAAATTAGCCTAGCATTGAGCAAGGATTTCCTCTGCTCATATGAAGCCAGGATAAATCACACACAAGACTTAAAATGCTATTTTGGGGAGGCTTTATTGTCTTTAACAATTTATTGTTTCTTATGTTCAAAATTAAAGTAAATTAAAGCTTTGTTTCCACTGAGGGAATTGGTTTCAGCTTACAAAAATAGACAGGTCTACTTTGCCAAAATGTTTCATTTATGGGGAGTTGCATGTCAGCCTACGGTGTAGGCTACGGCATAGGCTCTACATTGATGCAGAGCCTACGCTGTAGGTACGGTGTCGACGCAGAAGTAAAAATTCCGCCTAAGTTTCTTGAGGCTGCTAGACATTTAACTAAAACCAAGAAAAGAGATCACATTACTCCACATTTAGCATCTCTACATATGTTGACTGTTTCTTTTTAAGATCAGTTTTAAACTTGATGATGAGAGGAAAAGTGACGAGGAGGCTTCACACTTTACAGAGCTGCGTTCAGTAAAGACAAAATAAAAACACCCTCATCTTCTAAGGCTTTTAATTATGAACAAACACAGTAGTCAAAAACAGAAGTATTTTTTAAACTTAAAAATAACAATAACTCCTGACGAAGTGCTATTAGTGAACGTTACCTGTCACCTTACAGTAACTGTGTAGGTGTTTGTGGTCCCAGCCTAATTAGCTCCTGATCTGCCGGGTGACTTTTGTGCTTTAAGCTGTTCGGATGGATACCCTGGTCCTTGTTTGCTGGTGTGGGTGTAGCCTATAGGGGATGGCAGGGGGGGGAGCGGGGGCAGTGGGGCCTGGCAGGGGGGCAGGACGTGGCCCCCTTTACGAGACAGGGCGCCAATTTCTCTCCTGAGGGCCTCAGCCTGCTGTGACTGTGTTTTCACCAGCTCCTGGAGCCTCCGAATCTCCTCCTGGTCCACACGTCTTCTGTAATCCTGGAACTGTCTGCCCTGGATACACAAACAGATATCTATAAAGGTAAGCAGTATACAGGTGGACAGGCACAAACAACTCACACATATATGACAGACATTTCAATAGTCGAGAATACAACTCCACTCAGTTGTGTGCACCATAGACTTCATAAAATCATAGACGTAGCCATCATGACAGTACCCACTGGTTCGAAGCTTTACATTTTGGCTGAACATCCGATTCCTTAGATAGTCTTTTACCACAACCAATCGCTGAACAAGACTTTTTGCGCAACCAAAATGTTACAATTAAAATTAACTGAAAAAAACAACAACCCTGAAATAGTGACAGCTACTGCTATGCCCATACTTGGTGAATCCAGGGTAATGCCATGGTTATGTCAAAGATACTCTATACAAGCTTTGCCAATAGTACGAGATGGCACACACTTCCGATTTCCTAAGTGACTGTGGTCATCGCTCCCCTGCATATCCCCACCTCGTCTGGAAGTGTAGTAAATGTCTTGTGGATGATGAAATCAGACTACAGTAGAAACTACAGTACAAATGTAATGTTCTTTCTTTATTTTGCCCCTTGATTTTATCTGCTAGTTTAATGTCTGACATCACGTCAGCTGTTTCCAGATCTCGTGAGAGTGTGTTTCTAAAACAGAAATGTCTCGAACAAAGTTAATTTTCTCCTGATTTGTCAGTCTGAAAAATGCCATTACAGTGTCAGAATGTTTAGAAAAGTTGGGACCTGTGAAAAATGGGTCCAGTATTTACTTAAGTGACAATGGGGCGAAGGAGACAGTCATCATCTCTACTCACTTTCACTTCTCTTATTGGAATGAATGGACTCAGGGCTGGTGCTAGCCCGTGAAGTGCCAAAACCCATATGACAATGATTCCAAAATGATTCCAATGAATAACATCTAGTGAGAGACGCGCAGTCTTCACTTAGACTCTACTTACACAGAGAGGTACAGAGGACTGATGGAGAGCTTCGAAACACGGTGCAACAACAAACACCTGAAGCTCAATATCAGCAAAACCAGTGAGCTTGTGGTGGACTACCAGAGGAACTGACAATGACAGACAATGCTTCAAATATGAATGTTGCCGCTTTCACTCATCTTCAACCCGGCGGCACAGATGATCTGTATAATCAGCACAGTTTAAGGGTGGACACCCAAAATTAGTGTCACCAGTTCAGTATCTGACCAAATGCCTCCCCTCCTGTTCCTGAGTTACAGTGTTGAATAATGTCCAGAGGAGTGTTTTTGCAGAACATTATAATGTCACAGTTAAGTTGCCCTTTGGGACATAACATGTCATCACTTCATCATTTTATCCTATCAGATATTATGTAAAATTCTGTCATAATTATTGTATGAATTCTTTAGTTATGACCAAAAACAAGGTCTCAGTGACTTCTGACCACCATGTGGCAAATGTGAAGAAATTTCCTCCAGGCAGAGATGGAGATGTCTCCAGCCATGGCTCTAAAGGGGCAGATGCATAAGTGAAACATCATTGTATTGTATTAGAGATTTGTGGATCCCAGCTTTAATCATACGATACGATATGAAAATTAATTTAGAGAACAGAAATTACCACTTTCTTCTGCCGTGCGTTGAGTTTATGCTCCAGCTCTCTGTTCTGGTCGTAGAGGCTCTGCATGCACCGCAGATGCTCTGTGTTACACCTGGTCGTCTCCATCAGAGCCTCACGTGCTTCTTCTACCTTCGCCTAAATATTACACACACATGCACAAAAACAGTCCAGAAAAAGATCAGTAAACTCACTCTGATCTAAGTTGTTTTGGAAAAATGACATGTCAAGTGTGAGGTCACACAAAAACAGGTCAGCATACATCCCACTCTTTGATTTCCTTGGCGTATGCAGCTTCTCTGAGGAGTTTTTCCTGCTTGAGCTCCTCCAGCACCCTGTTCCCCGACAGCGTCTGCAGAGCATCCACATCCACCAGCCGCCCGAACTTCATCATCATCAGCTGGTTGCACTGCTTCTCCAGCACTACACCAGCACACATACAGACACACATCAACACACAGATCAGTTTCTAAGAATGTGACTTTCTTGCACTGGCAGTAATTGAGGCGACACACAAACTCTACCAAACACAAATCTGGATTTTTTTCATCTGTGTCTTTACTTTGACTTGTGTGTGTTCATGTAGCATCTGATCTTCACACATCGTATCTAACATATCATCAGAGGTTTTAGGTTAGGCTGAATGGGAGCCCAGGCGTTTGCCTGTGTGGGTCTCACCCTGGATGTTGGCCTCCAAGTCCTTGCGGTCGTGGAGGAGCCTGACGTGCTGCTGGCGGGCCTGACAGTACAGCTCTTTCTGCTGGCTCTTCTCCACCTGCAACTGCTTGATGCGCTCCTGCAGCCTGTTAAACTCTGTCACGCCAAGCACTAATGCTTGGCTCAGGTCAGATGGCACTGAACCATTAGTGACAAGCTCAATCTGTTGACAACAGAGGAGGTGGAGGGAAAAGGAGAGTAACTGCAGGACATGAGAAGATGGAGAATTTTAATGAGTGGAGACAGAATTCTTTGGGATTAATAAACTTAAAGCCTGTGTTTTATCAAAGGGTTTTGCAAGAGACACAAGCAGAGTATGTCTACAGAAGTCTAGGTCCACCAATCCATCCATCCATTTTCAACTGCTTACCCGAAGCAGAGCAAAGCACCCCAGGCATCCCTCTCCCCAGCAACACTTTCCAGCTCCTCCTGGGGAACCCTGAGGTGTTCCCAGGCCAGATG